TATTCTGATTATTAATAGATGTTTGCAGCTGTTTTTGCTCATTCTAAGATGTGTCACATCATCAAATGAAGATTCCCAGTCACGCCATCCAAGTCATCAAGGTTGGTTCTACTTGAAGAGCCAGCTCCAGCTCCATCATATTTTATATGCCTTCCAAGCTGAAGAACTCATATCCTGCACTGTATCAGATTGTTCTGCTGCTACTATTCATATGGTTTTCACTGGTCACAATTTTTACAAGTAGATGTCCAGTCTTCCTTCCTCATTTGTCTATGGATTGAAGAAGCTCTGTTGAAACCTGTCTAATATGAATGACTCTGGGGGTATTTGATTTTCTGATGATGATAACTTCCAGCATCACAGAAATGCAGAAGCCACTGCAGTACAACAAACTGACAGTGATGACATTTCTAGGAGTTTCTAATTGTCTTTAAGTCTTTATATTACTTGCCTTTGTTGTTTGGTGCCATTGAGTACAACTCAGAGTAATCCTACGAACAGCCAGTGTGAACCCTGCCTTATCCTGTCATCATCTCTGACTTGGTAGAGTCTATTGCTGAAGTCACAGTGTGAGTCCATATAATCCAGGGTCTTCCTCTCTTTTGCTGACTCTCCATCTTTCCAAACATGATGTTCCCTTTCAAGGAATAGCCTCTAAAGGATGAAAGATGAAGCTTTGCCATCCTTACCTCCAAGGAACACTCTGGCTGCACTTGTCCCGAGACAAACCCGTTTGTTCTTTTGGCAGTCCATGGGATATTCAGGACTTTTCTCCAGCACCACAACTTAAAGGCATCAATTCTTCTACTTGCCTTTACCATAACATAATTATTTCCTTCCAATCTCTTTATCATATTGGGTATCCTGTTGATTCCTTGTCTTCCCAGAGACCTCGTGGGCCTTTGTTACTCCTACTACAGTCCGGACTAGCTACTCTTTGGGTCTGATGCCTACTTGTCTTCACGGGAATCCCCTTTGCCCCCTCTCCTGGGCTACAGCCACATCTTCTTCTTTCTTGGTTTGCTTCCTCGTTTTTCTGGAGCACATCCTCAATTAACTTCCTGAAAAGGGAGGTGTGGGAGGTGAATTTTCTGCGACCTGTCTGTCTGGAAAATGTTTTTACTCCATTGTCTTTCCTATTGATTCATAGTTTGACTGGACATGGGATCCTAAGGCAACAATCAGGGTTACTCAGAACTTGAGGAGTCACCCCGCGCTGACTCTTGACACTCACTGAGTTCTCTTCCTTTATCCATGGGCTGACCTTTCCTGGAGACAACCTCACGATTTTTAAAAACAATCTTGCTTGATCCTACTTCAATTTCACAATGATGGATTTAGGTATGGATCTTTTCTTCTGTCCTTTTTTATCTTGTTAGTCATTCCAGAAACTCTTTAAATCAGAACATCTGAGTGGAAAAATGAGCTAATATTTTATTTGTGAATTCCTTCCATTTTATTCTGTCCTATTTTAGAGCACATGTCAGTTGAAAGGATAGTAGAATTCCCTGACTGACTGTCTTTCTGATGATTTCTTAGCTTCCATTTCTCTACAGTATTTATTCTATTTTTTGAGAATCTGCCTATCTTTCCCTTTCAAGCTTTATATTGTTGTTGGTGTTGATTGCCTTCGAGTCAAGCATGACTCATAGTGAAAAGCCTGAAGCCCCGCTACAACTTATCGACATTTATCAAAGTTCATAGAGTTTTATTTAGGAGGTGGATGCCACTCCTGCTTCCAAATCTGTCATAGTAGTGATTTAAAAGAAAATTCAGGAGTCATATATTTTTGCTTCTAAGTCTTCTCATCTTTTGATGGTCACTTGTCATAGCATCTTGCTCTCATCTTGAATTTCTGTCTTTTGGGGAACATTCGTGGGTTGGTTTATTGTTTTTAAGTTCTTTTTGTTTCTTCAATTATCTTCATTTCCCCTCAGCTCCTTGTTTGTCTCTCATTTATCTCTGTCTTTTCTCTTTATATTCTAGAATTTAAGTGTCTGAGGATCCCAGGTAACCATTTTATGTTTAATAGACATGGAGCGGAAGCTCTGGCCAGTGGACAGGGATGGTTGGGTAATGGTCTCTCTTCAGCAATTTTGGGGAAGGAGGTACTTGTTACCTCTCAAATACTATTAATACAGCTGGTCTTCTCTTTGAGATGTCTAACTTCTTAGAGAAGCATCTTCTGATTATTTTTCTGAAAGAGCCCTGGCTGCTGTATCTTCTGCAGGCAGTATGCAGAGGGAATGGGTAGATCCTTAGAGTGACTTTACGAATCTATTTTCCTGATTCTGTTCACCATCTTTAATTCTTGCTCTCTGCATACCTGACATTTCTGGGCCCTGAAGTTCCATGAGGGTTGATACTATGTACCCCATTTCACACCTATTTCTATCATGCCATTGAATACTATCCCACACTCCATCCACTTCCCAGAGCCTGGACATTCTCTAAAATTGCCCACCTCTGGTTGCTCCCTCCATTTTTCTATTACACTCTCTATTCTTCTACTGTCATTTTAGTGAGATCTCAAGGTGAAGACCAGGTAAGTGACATATGTTTGGTCCACCATCACGATCTAGAAGTCAACCTCTGTGACTTTCTTCTTCTTCTTTTTAGTTAGGTCACATCTTCCGCAAAACTTCTGCCAGTGACATTGAGTTGGGCAGTGTGTGTTTGCTGTCTGAGGGCTCCTGTGAATAATTTCTTTACCATCTTTACAGGAAAGATGTTTGTTTGTCTCTTCTCATGAGCTGGTATGTTTCCTTGCAATGGTGTGTGGGTTTGTGTAACTCCCTGTTTGCCTTTCAGACCCTGAGGCTAAGAGCTGAATTTGAACTCTAATCCTGAGCTTAAGAATCCTGAGGCATATATTTTTATTCTTCCACTATAGCTTTTCTTTGTTGCTGTTAAGAGCCATTGAGTCAAGTGACTTGATGAGTCATCTGACTCTTAATGATCCTATGAACAATAGGTCTGAACTCTGCGCAATCTCCATGCCAACCTCACAACCTCTGACATATTTGACTTCATCCTACTTGGATCCATAAAAACAGTCAGGAGATCAGGAGCCGTATTGCACTGGGAAAGTCTGCAGTCAAGAAGAGCACTGAACGTCGCATGGACAGCCAAGAGAGCAAGCAAGAGCCCACTGTAGCAGTCACTCTGTCACTCCATCTGGTTAAGGGTCTTCCTCTCTTTCACTGCCCCTTCACTTTTCCAAGCATGGTGCCCCCCTCCAAGGAATAGCCTCTCCTAGCAACATGCCCAAAGTATGTGAGACAAAGCTTTATCACCTTGGCCTCCAAGGAGCACTCTGACTGTACCTTCTCCAAGACATTTCTTTTGTTTGTTCTTCTGGCAGTTCATGGGATAGTCAATACTCTTCTCCAACGCTAGTGCTGAAAAGTATCAATTCTTCTGTCATCCTTAGTCATTGCCCAGCTCTCAGATGCATAGCAAATGACTGAAAAGATCATGGCCTGAAGCAGGTGTACCTTAGTCCTCAAAATGACATCATTGCTCATCAACAACTTGGAGAGGTCCCTGACTGCAGACTTCCCCAGTGCAATACATCTTCAGTTCTCCTGTCTGATTTTGTGGATCCAAGTAAAATGAAGTTTTTGACAGTTTCAATCTTTTCCCATCTATCATGCTGTTACCTATTGGTCTAATGGTTAGAATTTTTGTTTTCTTAACTTTGAGATATAATCCATATTGAAGGCTATAGTCTGATATTCTGGAGTAAGTGCTTCAAGTCCTCTTCTTTGAAGCTTTTATTTAGTCTTCTATTTTCCTTTAACAATCCTATATGCCTTTTATTGTTAGTTGCCTTAAATGAATTATTTCATGAAGTAAATAAGTTTTCATATCATCTTTCCTGTCTGTTAACAGTTTCCTGGAGAAGCCCATTCCTGAAATTCTTTGTCCTTTTCAAGTTGACATCTTCCCTTTCTTATCTTTAATATCATTTAGATTTTGTGTGAGAGAATTTTGTCCTAGATCCTTCAGCAACCTAATTCTTATGGAACCCGAGTCTAATAGATTCCTATTTTCCGAACTACATGCACATGGTTGATCCCTCAGTAGACTGGAGGCAGAAACCATGGTCCACTCATTCCTCAGTGAATGAAGTAGTTTGGGATTGATCCTGATGAGCTTAGCTCCTGGGATTTGGTCCAGAAGACTTGGGACAGGACGGAGGCAAGCATAGTCCATGTGAGTACTTATTGGTTAACTCCTGTCTTTTTCTTCCTTCTTCTCTTTGTCTTCAGTGGCTCCTACCCCTCCTAGCCTCAGTAGGGATGAGTGCATGTGCAGGTCAGGTGGAGAGAGCATGTGGGTTTGTGCCAGAGGACTACAGGCAGTTGATGTAGAGTGTGTCCTTGGAGACCAAGGAAGTCAATCTCTCTCACCTTTGATTTCCTCCTCTGTGAAATGAGGATGACAATCCAGAGGAGGGCTAATAGAAGGAAATCCCTTAGTATATCTGAACGACCCAGAAGCCTGCTTGGTAACTGTTGTGTGCCCCCAAGTAACGGAATAGGACTGCCTCTAGGCTCAGGACAGGGAAGGGTTCAGAGCTGCTATACATAAGGTCACTATGCATCACAGGCGACTCAACCAATAACATTCTTTGACAGGTTTGGGATCAGGAGTGGCATCTGCTTCCTAAACAACTTGCCTCTGGAAACTCTATGAACTTCGATCAATGTCAATACTTGTAGAGAGGCTTCAGGACTTTTGTTCATAGGGTCTTTATGAGTCGTGATCGACTCAAAAGCAATCAATAACAACAACAAGCTTTGCAAAGGCAGCTTGCTAGGTCTTTTACTCTTAGAGGGCTCTTGAGCAGTTTCGAACCACTGACTGGTTATCAGATGGTACTTAACTGCTGCGGCACCAGGGCTCCTCTGGAAATCTCTAAATGGAGTCAACTTCCCATGACCCAGTCTCTGCATCCCATCCCATCCTGTGTCCCCCTGGCCCCCTCCTCTTACTGGATCAGTTCCAGCACCCGCCTCTTCATGGTCCGGACCAGCTCCCTCTGCCCTTCGAGCTCCTCCTGGTATGCAGCATCCCTCGCCTCAGCCTCCTGGTGCTTCTGCGCTAGCTCTGTCTGCAGCCGGGTCCTCTCTTCATGACAACTGGAAACAGAAGGAGGACAGAGGACTGAGGGGTCAGTGGCCCCTTGACCGAGCCAGGCCACGTCTAAGCCTGATGGGGCGCTTCCCAAGGAAGGAGCTAGTGGTGACACTTCCAGCTGACACAAACACACGGACATGTGCGTGCTCACACAGATGCATGTGCAATCCAAGCAGACCACTCAGTGTGACTCCTTACGGATTGTTCCACGAGATGAAATCCTACCTGTTCCTTTAGAGGGGGACTCTCCACTCCAGAATGTCATTTTTTTGAAGGGAGGTTACAATCATAGCAGCTGCTTGGATGTAAAGTGGCACCTGGGAACCCAGGTAGGGGACGGCGCCCAACAGAAAACAATGTGGTGTGTGGGCAAGGTAGGGTCTGAGGTGAGTTTTCACTTTCAAATATTTAAAAAATGAAGCTTTATTGCCTAATCAATTCCAAAAGTAATGTTGAGAATATGGTTTTCCTAAATTCTGTTTCCGTTTTGGCCCTTCTTCAGCTCTACTCCTGCTCTTTGTCTTTGGAGGCTTTCTAGAAGGTTCCATGAACCCAAACTACTGTCTCAGGTTTCACTGACTGATCCCACTGCTCACAGAGGAAGCTGGAGTAGTGGTGGGTGTGCAATGGTGCACACAAACTCAGGACACCTGCACATACCTAAGCCTGCATACACCTTGTGCTTGAATGTGTTTGAGGCTGAGAGACTTAACAAGAGATTGAATTGAATTGTGGATTTTTAAAATATTGTCATGTAAAATGCTTTAGGGAAGACTGTTGATGGGCCAAGAAATCAGACCAACAACGGGGGGGGGGGGGCACTGAAATTCCAAAAGGCCACTTGTGGTGTCCAGCTGTTGGATGCTGGGTCCTCAATAAACCCTTTCTTTTTTTAAAATCAATATAATATTTTAAAAATCATTATTAATTTTAATGAAAATTTACAGAGACTTTGGATTTCCATTCATTCATTGTTGCATTTTTCTCCCTGCCCCCTCCCCCCTAGTTCACTCTTCTCTTTGAAAAGTAAAAGAAGAATTCTTTCATTGTTATTCAATCCCTCTCCCCAAGTCCACTCCACTATGCAGCCTTCATTCTGGACTCCTGTCATGACAATAATACCTAATCACATATCCCTTTTAAACAGTTCTCTCCCTCATCTGTTTCCTCTTTCTTAGTATCTTAGTTGACTTTCCTTTCCCTGAGCCAGCTGACTTCCCAGTGATCTTGGGCCCTCTTGTGACCAATGCTGGCATTGCCAGGATCTCTCTGGATCTCTCTCTCTCTTTCTCTCTGTGTGTTTATGGCGCGAGGGAATCCTTATTAAGCACCCATTGTTACTGAGGAGCTGTCAGCCTTGGATTACTAAACCAAAGGTTGGTAGTTTGAACCCACCTTTCTGCAGAAGAATGATAAGGCAGTCTCCTCTCTCAAGATTTACAGCCTTGGAAACCCCACGTGTAGTTTTACTCTGTCCTAGAAGTTTGTAGGGAGTTGTGCTGCTAATCAAAAGGCGAGATCTCTCTGGTGGTTCAACTCTCCCAGCTGCTCTGCCAGAAGAAGATAGATCACTTTTCCCTGTGCAATTTACAGCCTCTGAAAACCTGCTATGGGGTCAGCACTGAGTCTGTTCTAACTCGACAGTAATGGATTTCTGAGTTATAGGGCTCTACGAGTTGGGGTCTACTTGAAGCAGGGGGTCTGGTGGTGGTTGTTATTGCGAAGTCCCGGGGTGATGCAAAAGGCTTTGTGCTTTGAAAAGTGGGTTGTACGAACACATACAGAAGCACCAAGAATAAAGGCCTGGCTGTCTTCTTATAGACAATGACCCTCGACCCTGATGACCTTGAGATCAGAAAAACTAGATGGTGCTCGGCTGCCACTGCTGACCACCTTGAAAGGGATCACAACAGAAGGTCCTGGGTAGAGTGGGAGATGTTTGTGGAACTAACTAACTAACTAACTCAATCAATCAATCAAAAAATAGCCAACTTTACTGGTCTGATAAAGACTATAACCCTTGCTCATCTTTCAAGCCTGAAACGGAACTCACTCCCAAGGCACAGCTTGCAGCCAAACACTAGACTGAACTTTGAGGTGAACGGTAACACTAGGGAGCGACTCAGTCCTCAGAACAACCAACCTTCGAGACAGGTGACCCAACCACAAAATGAGCAAAAGACATGAAAAGACTTTTCATGGAGGGAGACACTCAGTTGGTCCACAGACACGTGAAGAAATGTTCAAAACCACTGGCAATACTGGACGAAAAGTGCTCACTTTTCAGCCAACAGGATCTTTAAATAGACCTTAACGATGGGGAGAAGATGTAGAAGGAGCGAAAGGTGCATGGAAAGTTCTGCAAGTCGGAAAGAACTTAACTTGTTGGAGGAACTGAAAGAAAGCCAGTGAAGTTGGGGTGCCTGCAGAGTGGGGAGAGAGGCAGGAGATGAGCTGAGGAGTAGACAGTTGAATCTGCTCCAGGAAGAGTGAACTTTTAACCTCCACGCAAGGAGAAGCCATGGAAGTATTTTTGTTGTTGTTGTTGAGTACCGTCAAATCAGATCCGACTGGCACAGGAAGAGATTGCCCTTCCTTCTCCAGCAGAGCACCTGGTGGATTTGAACTGTGTGCCTTCGGGATTGCCATGGAAGTATTTTAAGTAGGAGGTAACAAATATTCCCAAGTGCAGGAGGGCACACAGAAGACATGATAGTTTATTGAGCAGCTACTGTGCTCCCCCCAGTACTGGGCTTTGTTTCATAAAACTTGCACACTATTCAAGATAGGTAATAGGATTCTCATTGTACAGGGTATAAAATGTCTCAGAGGGCGTGTGACTTGTCCAGGGTCACACAGTATGATGACTGAGAGAAGCAGATATCTGAACACAGGCCTGGCCAGCTCTCAATTATTCGTGCCTCTTTACACCTTCATTCACATAGACCCTAATCACCAGTGACCTGGGCTGTCCGTGTCCAGAGGGCAGCAGGTGCGAGAGAGAATTCTGGCCTTTAGTGTCCTTGGCAGTAGCACAAATGAGCTCACTGCTGCCCTCCAGTGGGCAGAGATCATGCTTTTAGCCTAATTCCCTCTTCTGCTTCCCCCTGTTTACCTTTCCTTGAGGGAACTGGGTGTGTGCGTGTGTGTTGCTCCTAGGGAGTTGTACTGCTAATTCACAAGTGGTGCCTCTCAGGTGGTTCAAACCCACCAGCAGTTCCTAAGGAGAAAGATGGGCGATCTCACCCCATGCCATTTGCAGCCTTGGAAACCGACTGAAACGTCGGCTAGAAGTTGGAACAGATGCAATGACAATGAGAGAGAGGGAGAGCGCATTTTTTTGCTTCAGTCTTAACCAAGGACCAAGGAAGCCTAGCCATTGATAGAAGGCTTCACAGAGGAAGAGCTGAAAGCAGGAACCTTACAGATTCAACCACCTCTTTTTGCAATTCAGGAACCTGAAGTCCAGAGAAGGGAAACCACTTTTCTTGGGCCCCATAACCGTGAAGTCAGGCTGGAACCTCATTTCTCTGTCTCAAGACTATTTTTACAGCCATTGGCTGGTCTACTGTGGAGCCTGCTTGCCTGGAGGGTCCACTCATGACTTGTGATGCCTAGCTTAGGATTCTCACACATCAGCTTCCACCTCTGCCCACCCTCTGTCTGTTCTCCACCACACAACCAGAAGCTTGCTTCCAGAAACCTAAGCTGGACATGAGATCACCTTGTCACATCGATTCCCATGCACGGTGACCTCACGTATCAGGGTAGAGCTGTGCCCCAAAGTGTTTTCAGTGGCTGGCTTTTGAGAAGTCGTTCTCCAGGCCTTTCTTCCAAGGTGCCTCTGGGTGGATTTGAACCTCTATTCTTTCCACTAGCAGCCAAGCAAGTTAACTGTTAATACAACCCAAGTATTTAGCACAATTTCCTAGTGGCTTCTTACCCACCAAAACACCAAGCCCACTGCTGTCTATTTGATCACAGCACACACACACACACACACACACACACACACACACACACACACACACTGGCCTCCAAAGCTCTCACTCTGACCCTCAGAAAGGCCTTTCCTGATGCTGAAGTCTTACACTGCTAATCTTTCTCTTTCTAGCCCCTTTCTGACTTTTGTTTTTCTCCAGCACCTGTCTTGGGTTGAAGAGTTTCCTTCAAAGTTAATTTCCTGGATCCAGGGATTATGACTTTACTTAGAAACAGAGTCTTAACAAACGTAATTCATTAAGATGAATCAGACTGGAGTAGAGTGGGCTCTAAATCACTGTGATTGATGCTTTTGTACCCTCCCCCCTCCAGATAAATCCCACTGTCACTGAGTCGATTCGGACTCACAGGGACTCTGCTGTGTAGGGTTTCCAGGACTGTTAATCTTCATGAGAGCAGACTGCCTTTGCCTCATTTTTCTATAGTGTGAATTTGAACCTCTTTGGGTTTGCAGCCAAATGCTCTGACCTGACCCCTGGATCATTCAAGATTTTGGTATCTCTGTAAGATGAGGGAAATTTAGGTACAGAGACACAGATACACAGTGGAGAAAGTCATAGGAAGACAGGCAGAAATCAGAGAGATGCTTCTAAATAGCAAAGAACCCCAAGGATTGCTGACCACCACCAAAAGCTGGAAGAAGCAAAAAAGTGTGTCCTCATGCCTTTGGAGGGAGTGTAGCCTGTCAACATCTTGATTTTGGGGCATTGCTGTACAGAGGTAACTTGTGGTTGCTGTGATGCTAAACATTGTGACACTGATGTGCCAAATGTGAGAATGGTTACCCATGGTGGACAGTGTTTGGTGGAGCTCCCCAATTAAAACAGGCATGGAAGCAGAAGTGGCATTCACTTTTGAAATGGCTTGCCTCCAGAAACTCTATGAACTTGGAGAAACAAAGAAACTTATACAAGTGTTCAGATCTTTCATTCATAGGGTCACTGTGAGTTGTCTACGACTCAATGACACCTAACAACAACAACACCCTCCTGAAGCTGGAGAAAATAAATTTGAAGCCACCCAATACTTTGTTATGGCAGCTTTGGGGCACTAATATTGTCTGAGATTTCATTCCTTTTTGTTTATTTATTGTCCATCTTTCGGGCCTCTGTGAGTGGACACTGCTTGGTTCACTGTCGCAGCCTATTCTCATTACCTGATACATCCTAACATTGCACTAAGTTTTACTGAGGGGTGAACGGATCCCTTGGCATTTCTCATTGCTGGTAGGGAAAGGCCCGTCACCAGCTTGGAGTACACGATCCCTTTGCCCAGGGGCACAGTATTTGTCCTCAGCTCCGGCTCCCAGGAGTCGGGGAACTCATTCTCTCCCCAGCCTCTGGAGCTTGTTCCCCATCTGCATTCTGATCATTCCCAAGAGCTCGGCCAGCTCAGGTCTCTCTTCTGATCGCCACACTCAGTGGACCCACAGCTCCACTGTGATGTCTTCCGGGGGACTGACACCTAACACGTTCAAAACGAAACTCCTGGCCAGTTTCCACAAGCTTGTTCTACCGCAGCCTTCCCCTTCTTGATTAATGGGGTTTCTGTCTTTCCAGTTGGTCAGATTTAAAAAAAAATCTATTTATGAAATCTATTTTCTATTTTCTCTCAGAACCCACAGGTGATACCTTCTGGAGCCCCACTGTCAAAACCTATTCAAATCCAGCTGATTCTCCCGATTTCTACGGGCACCAGACTGGTCTAAGGTACCCTTGTTCTGCCACCTGCACAGATGCAGTGGCCTCCTTGCTGGTTCCCCCGGCTCCATCCTTGCTTCCCCACAGTCCAGCCCCCCAAGTCCAGCAAGGCCTCTTAAAACATGGCAATCCAATGATGGAATACTATGCAGCACGCAGGAGCAATGATTTTGTAAACTACTACCTAACTTGGGAGGGACTGGAGAGCATTATGCTGAGTGAACTAACTCAGTCCCACAAGAACAAATATTGTATAAAACTATTATTGTAGAATGAGTATGAGGATCCAAGAGGGGGAGGGGAGGAACACAGGGGTGGGGAGGGGCAGGAGGAAGGGTCGTCATAGGGTTACACAATTTGATGGGTGGAGGGTGGGGTGGCTGAAGCAAATGGTAAAGGTCTGGTGTGAAAAACAATGAATACGAACTTTTAAAGTAAACCATAATAATAATAAAAAATAAAAAACCAGAACATGACCATCCAGAAAGACAAATCCCTAGAGACAGAAAGCAGACTGCTGGTTGCCCGGAGCTGAGTTTTTAGTGAGAAACAGGGTTTGGCTACAAGTTGTTGTTTTTTTTTTTTTTGTGGCTGATAAAAATGGTGCAAAGTTGATTGTGTAAATTGATGCTCAACTGAATATACTAAATCACTGAATTGTTACAAAAGAAAGAAACATGTTTTGTCACATAATAAAACAAACACAAGTCAGTTCATGTCTCCCCTCAGCTCTGAACACTCTCTGGCTCCCATCTCACTTGAGTCAAAGTCAAGGTCTTCTGGATGACTTTCCAGACCCTCCCCAGTGTGGCCTCTGTCACCCACCTGACCTGCCCCTACGCTGTCTCCCTCCTTCTCTCCACTGGGCCCACAGCAGGCCCGATGTTCCTAGAACCCGCCGGGTACCTGTCAACCTCAGGGCCTTTGTTCTTCTTCTTCCTTAAGGTACCAAATGGCTGCAGTTCTCCTCTGACAAACACCCATGTACCCCTAAACTACACCTCTCATTGCCTTGAGCTTGTACACCCATGTACCCCTAAACCATGCACCTCACTTCCTTGAGCTTTGTATACCCATATAACCCCAAACCATGCACCTCACTGCCTTGAGCTTTGTATACCCATGTACCCCTAAACCACGCACCTCACTGCCTTGAGCTTTGTACATTCATGTGCCCCCAAACCACGCGTTATCACTACTTTGAGCTTTGTATACCCATGTACCCCCAAACCATGCACCTCACTGCCTTGAGCTTTATATACCCATGTAACCCCCAAACCATGCACCTCACTGCCTTAAGCTTTGTATACCCATGTACCCCCAAACCATGCACATCACTTCCTTGAGCTTTGTATACCCATGTACCCCCATACCATGCACCTCACTGCCTTGAGCTTTGTACACTCACATACCCCCAAACCATTCACTTCACTTCCTTGCGGTTTGTACACCCACGTATCCCCAAACCACGCACCTCACTGCTTTTAAGTTTGTACACAAACGACACCTTTGCCAGCAAGCCTTTCCTGACAGTGACACTTTAAAACACTACTTCTCACCCCCTTCCTTTTCTCTTCTGGAGCTTTTTCTTTGTAGAACACCCGTAATCCAACATTCTATCTGTTTACTTTGTTTTATTTATTCCAGACTCCAGAAGTGAGTTTGTTTTGTCCATGAGAATATTTCCAATGCATAAGAGGCCTGGCAAAGAGCAGGAACTGAGTGTGGGGACATGACAGACCGACCACTGGAATGACGCGCGAGTGAGCAAGCGTCCCATGTTCATTTAGAGTCTGTATTGTCGGAATTTTACTGACTAACCTACCCAGCTCAGCTGAGTGGCTCGTGGGAGGAGCCCCAGGGTTCTCTTTGGGTTGGTTTCTGGGCTCTGAAGCCTTTTCAACCATTAACAGATAATCTAGAAACTGATCCGTGATTCCCCCCAAAGTACAGCTTCCCAGGCTCTCAGGAGTCAGGCTGGCCCTCCCAGTCCCCAGGGCAGGAGTCAGGGAGAGAAGGGCAGAGAGAGGAGGGAAGACTGAGCATAGAGACTGAGGGAGAGACGTAAAGAGACTGAGTCAGAGGAAGGAAGACACTGGTGTGGAAGAGAGACTTAAAACCAAGCTAAGAAAGAGAACCACAGTCAGAGGCAAAAACAACAGTCCCTGAGTTTAATGTGATGATGTGCATAGAAGACTGTAATAGTAAGAGATGCTGAGGGGAGAGACAGAGAGACTGAAATAGAAAGCAAACACATTGGTGTCTAGGGCATTCCAATCCGCTGGGACCACCTGCAGACCCTGCAGGACATAGCAGAGCATTCCAGAGGTTTTTCCAAGGCTAACTCTTCATGGGAGCAGACTGTCACATCATTCTCCCATGGAGTGGCTGGTGGGTTCGAACTGCTTAGCAACCAAGCACATAATCAATGCTGAGCTGTGTCGTCGGGGATACTTGACTGAAATATGTTGTTCTTGTTGTTGTTAAGTGCCGTTGAGTCATAGGCGACTCCTAGCGACCCTATGAACAAAAGACCTGGACACTTAGGTAACTTTCGTCCTTTCTGCAGGTTTATAGGGTTTCCGGAGGCAAGCTATTTCAGAAGTGGATGCCACTCCTGCTTCCAGGCTTGTTTTAATAGGGGAGCTCCACCCAACACTGTCCATCATGGGTAACCATTCTCACATTTGACACATCAGTGTCACAGTGTTCATCTTCACAGCAACCACAAGTAACCTCTGTACAGCAAGTGGACAGACCAGGGCTATATGACCTAGAAGAATGTTTCACCAAAAACAATTAAAAGCAGGACTGAAGGCCGCAGATTAGAGTCACCCACCTTTGGCTTGGTAGCATCACTTTCTGTCCACTAGGCCAACTGAGCTCTCTCTATGCTGTTGTTGTTTTTAAGTGTCTTTGAGTCATAGGTGACTCATAGCGACCCTATGAACAAAAGACCTGGACACTTGTATAACTTTTGATATTTCTCCAGGCTCATAGGGTTTCTGGAGGCAAGCTATTTCAGAAGTGGATGCCACTCCTGCTTCCAAGCTTGTTTTAATTGGGGAGCTCCACCAAACACTGTCCACCCTGGGTAACCATTATCACATTTGACACATCAGTGTCACAGTGACTGAAATATAGGTACTCAAAATATTGTCTTAGTGGTTATCTCGAAAGCACTGATGCTGAAACTTCAGAAACAGTGGGAGGGAAAAGAGGAGGAGAGGGCACAGACCTCTTCTGGGGGCTTCCAGAAGAAGCCAGTGAGGGAAGTGGCTGGCAAAGAGGAGGTCCTGGGGGATCCTTAAAGAGCAGGAACATGCCCTGCATCCTTCAACATCCAGAGTTGTGCCCATCCCAGGGCCCCGTACACAGGGGGTGCTCGAAAGGTGCTTGACCACCACTGAGAGCAGGAGCATGTCTCTGGCCCTGCTGGTCTCCAGGCTCACCTGCCTTTTCTGACTGGCCAGTTGCCGTGGTTACCTGCTGAGCTGCCCCTGCAGGACCTTCAGCTCCACTTCCTGCTCTCTCAGAAGCTGCTCCTGCTGCTGGATCTGTTCTTTGGCCTTTTGGAGTTGATGTCTGAGGTTCTGGAGGGGAGGAGGGCGTAGAAGAGAAAGGGAAGTGATGGAGTAGGGCAGAGATCCCAGTTCAGAGACTGACTTGAAGATTATTCTGATGAGATGTTAGCTCCTGGGTGGAGAAGGGCCTAGGAACGGGGCTGCCTTGCTCTGTTCTAGGATCTGGCCCTGGATAGCCTGGTGTACTGTGTCTTCCTTCAGCAGATGGAAGTGACAAAGCTCAAGGACCTAAAAGAAATATAACCAACTGACGGAAGGTCTGATAAGAACTTGGGTAGCTTCCAGGAGAAGCATCTACAACAAGCATATCTAGGTGAGGTCTGAAAGCGCAGAACACAGATAATGGGGAGGAATCTGCCAATAAGGAAGGGTATGGGCCTTGAGACCATGTGATTGCCCAATGAGCTGTTTCAAAGGGATCAAGACCTCAAATGTCAACAGAGGCTAAGCAGGTCGCATTAGTGCATGAGACTGGCCCTGTGTGAGGCAATAGGGAGAGGTGAGGTCTGTGGCAAACTAAAGAGTGCATGGCTTTCAAAAGGCATCTCTCAATAACAATACTCTTAATTAAACAGGCCAATAAAACAAATTAATGGGCTGAAGTGACCCTTAAGCTGACTTTAAAGACCCTCACCTGTGAGCTAGAGTAGAGAGTGGGGGAATTGACAGGCCTGGGGTGTCAAAGGCTCTTACCTTGACCAGATCCTGGAGGGGTGACTCTGCTTGCTCCTCTTGGCTTTCCACTCTCGTCCCCCCTGTTTGCTCTTGTGGCTTCTCTGTGGTGGAGCCTTCTTCCCTTTTTCCCAGGCACTGAAGGACCCAGGGATCGCCCGGGATTTTTGGCACTTCCAGCTCTTGCCTGCCGTTGAGAGCTGCTTCCTCTCTTGTTGGTCTGAGGCTGGAGGCCAGCAACCTCTGGACATGGCCCCACTCTGCTTCCCCTTCATGAGCTTCCTCTATTGAGCTCTGCCTGTCTGTTCGTGGAAGGACCCTTCTACCCCCAGCCTCTGTCCCTGTCGCCTTCGGAGCCCCACTTGCCACCTCCCCCAGTCCCTGGGTGCTGAGTGTTGAGTTCTGCAGACAGATCCCAGGCCTTGGGGCTACCTCACTTTGGACTTGCTGTAGCTCCCCCTTGTCTGATTCCAGCATGCTCTGGAGGAATCTGGGGCTCCTGACATCCTCCCTTTTCTTTTCTGAATTGGGGAGAAGATTCTTGTGTGGCTGGGATCCAGGAAGTCCCTCCAAGTTGTTTTCTCTGGGAGCAACTCCCAGAGAGTTGGCTTGACTGGGATGTGCCTCCTCTTGATGGATTCCTTTGGGGTCTCCACACGTAGCTGAAATCTGCAGAGAAACCCCCAAATTCATTGCCCAATGAGTACCAAGTCAGTGACCTGGTGCACTAGGGAGGCCACAGCTCTACTCCAATGGGCTTATTAAATATATGGATGGATGTCTGATGCTTCTCTTACAAAGTTTGATTCAACAGATTGGGGCCACGGGCCAGGAATCTGAATGTTTCCAGACCCCCAGGTGGTCTGAGATTTCATCTTTAATCTGGAGAGGGAGGAAAGGTGCTTTTCCACATTTTCTTCCACACTTTTAGCTCTCAGACTGTTCCTGCTGTTGTTACCTCTCTGGCCTCACCTCTTTGTTTATCTTACCATCTGAACTTGACTTCTACTCACGTCTGTTTTTTTATTTTATTTGCAAAATAGAGACACAAATATCTACCTTCTACTCTGCGTGTTTGCGTTATGGGCTGTCACATCAGAACCAACTCAGAGATGATCATCTAGTGGGTTTTCAGAGGCAGTAACTCGAACCAGAGGAGACTGCACATCTTTCTCCCACAGACCAGCCTGTGGATTCAAGTCACATGCCTTTGCTTGGCAGCTCAGCTCCTTTCCCCTGGGCCACCAGAGCACCTATACGTTCTAGAACTGTGGTGAGAACTTGAAGAAGTCTTCCCTTTGCTCTCATGTTCCCTTCACAAGTCTGCATCACTGTGCCTCGTGCATTTTCTTATAATGGGGGCCTCCAGGAGTCCGTCTACAGGAGCAGGCCTTGAACTTCATGAATTCTGAGATGGATCACTAACAGAATCTGTATCTAGTGCCTAGAAGCTAATAGGGTGAAATAAATGCTATGGAATGAAGACAGCAATAGCTACCAAGTGGCTAGGAACGTGACTCTGTACTACATGTATGTTGTCTCAATTCATCCTCATAATTATTCTACAAAGAACGATAAGTGACTTGCCCAAGGACCGTGGTTTATTATGGTGTCGAGGGGGATCTGACCTGGTAGGCTGGTTCATAATTACTCCTTCAATTAATTAAGCATTAGCAAATTGTCCGGTGTAGGAGACTCCACTGGGGTTGGTTCCTTTGTCCATTTCCCGCAAGCGCCCCCCTTTTCTCCTCCTCCTCTGATAGTACCCACGGCTCCTGCCAGTATCCCGCTTCTTTTCTGATGTTCCCCCCCACCTTAGGAACATGTGACATCTCTTCCCATGTGGCTTCCTCACCCCCAGACACATTGGCCTCTGTCCTTATCCAGCTAGATCAAGGCTAAATTACTGCTCAGCCCGAGGGTCCCGATAGGTAGAGAGGAGGCAGCTCAGAGTGCGGCGGGGCAGAGGCACCTCCTGTGGTGAAATGTTGGTCCTTCTGGGTCTTCTTCTCTGGTTTTGTCTGAAGTCAGAGCAGCATGACCTGAAAGTGAAAGGATTGAGGGGACCCACAAGACTCTCTCTGGTGGTGAACTTGGTCCTCAGGTGTAGATAGTCCATCCATCTACACACACACCTTCCTTTTCTCCCACCATCAAGAATCTATCCATTTCACCTTTCTCCATTCTTCCATCTAACACACCTCAATATCCTATACTCCATTCATCCAATGCATTCTGTGCTTCTCCACTCATCTCTCAATTTCACTCACCATCAAGCCCTCTATTCATCCATCCACTCCACTCTTCATTCAACCCTCCCACAATCATCCGTCCATTCCACCCAACATCTCACTCTCCATTCATCCATACATTTCACCCTCCATTATCATCTATACAGTCAACTCCAACTTCCCAGATCATTCACTCTTCCAACAGTCCCTCCTGACTACTCAACAGATAATCTTCAGTGAGTGTGTTCTCTATGCAGCACCAGGGGACAGCATGAGATCACACCAGGGGTGGGGGGAAAGCTGGAAAAGTAAAGAGCCAAAGGGCCAGAGACAAGGGAGAGATGATGGGGCTGGAGGCTGAACATTTGGGGTTTGTTTGGAAGGGAGAGGGAGGCAGGTATTTCCTCCGCTGCACTCACTCACTCTGAGAACATGGGCCAGGCCCCATCCAGGTCAGCCCTCTGCAGATCCAGGTCAAAGGCCACCCCATTGAGAGCGTAGAGAGAGTCCAGGATGTCTTCCTGGAGTTCAGGGCGCACCAGAGGGCTCTGAGGGCCGTACCATTCCCTGTGGTAACAGTTGTCAGCACTCTCGGCCTTTCGTCCTGACACTGTGACCACTTTTAACCTTAAAGAATGAGCCTTCACCGCACACCCATTATGCACTGTCCTACAGGGAGGGGCGTGGTCCTTTGAAACCAGAACTATGATGCTACCAAAACTCTTAGATTCATCTCCCCTCTGATTTCCTTCCTCAAGCTTTCCTTTTGGGACCTGCCTTTTCTTGTCTTAAGATTTTAAATCGTGCATCTAGGGGTTAAAGAGGGTTAAGATCTGCTGGAGAAGGAGGGGCAATCTCCTCCTATATCAGTCAGATCCGATTTGATGGTACACACACACAAAAATAATAATAATAAAATAATAATAAAAAAAGGCAGTTAAGAAAGGCAGATGGACTCACACGGCATCAATGGGAGAATATAGTGAAGAATTTCTCGTAGACTCACCTGACGAGGTCCGGGTTCAGGAGGCAGAGCTGCAGGCACTCGGCCAGCTGTCCATGGACTAGGCAGAATCGGATGAAGGCACGGCCTTTCCCCAACGAGGTCTTCAACTGTGGTGCAAACAGGGGACAGAGCTGGCATGAGGCCTTAGGCCTGAGTGGTACAAATAGTTAATGTGTTCAGCTGCTAACAAAAAAGTTGGATATTTGCTTTGGCCCAGAGGTACGTCAAGAAAGGTCTGTGTCAGGGCTGTATCTTTTCTCCATTCCTATTCAATGAATAAGGATGGCAGAAGAAGAACTAGATTGGTGGTGGTGGTGGAGAAGAGTACCGACTATCCTGTGTACTGCCAAAAGAACAGACACGTCTTGGAAAAATTACGGCCAGGAGTGCTCCTTGGAAGCAACAATGTGAAGCTTCATCTCATATACTTTGGGCCTGTTGCTAGGAGAGGCTATTCCTTGGAGAGGGACATCATGCTTGGAAAGGTGGAGGGTCAGGGAAAGAGAGGAAGACCCTCAAAAAGATGGGTTGACATAACTAATGATTGATGATGAAGATGGCACAGGATAGGCCGTGGTTCAGACCTGCTGTTTATAGAGTTACTATGAGTAGTACTCAACTCGATGGCACCTAACAACAACAACAACAACAACAACAACAACAATTCAATCTTTATGCTGAGCAAATAGAGAAGCTGAGCTTTATATAAGAAGATTGTGGTATCAGTATTGTACAAAGTCTTAACAATATTAGGCAGATGACACAATCTTGCTTGCTGAAAGCTAGGGGGACATAACCTGCTTGCTGAGGAAGGTCAAAGACTACAGCCTTTGTTATAAATTATATCTTAAGATTAAGAAAATAACCCTCACCACTTGGCCAATAGACAATATCATGAAAGTTGGAGAAAAGACTGACATTTTCAATGATTTCATCTTACTTGGATTCACAATCAAGATCCCTAGAAAGCAGTCAAGAAAACAAAAGACTTGTTACATTGGGAGAATCAGCTGTCAAGGACAATTTCAAAATACTAAAGAGTAATGACATCATTTTGAAGACTATGGTGCACCTGATTCAGACCCTGGTCTTCTCAATTACTTGCTAAGCATCTGAAAGTTAGCAATGAAAAGGATGACAGAAGAAGAATTGATGCCTTTTTGTGGTACTGGAGAAGAATACAGAACGTCCTATGGACTACCAAAAGAACAAGACAAACACATAGAGAAAGTGCAGCCAAAGGGCTCTGTGGAGGTCAGGACGGGGTAGCTTTGCTTCACATATTTGGAGTATTTTGTTAAGAGGATCAGCCCCTGGGAAAAGGCATCACACTTGTAAAGGTGGAGGATCAGCATAAGAGAGGAAGACCTTCAACCAGGTAGATTGACATAGTGATTCAAAGAGTGAGCACAACTCCTAAAGAAACCATAACCTCTACCCAAGCAGATATATGCTCACCCATGCTCATTGCGGCTTTATTCACAATAGCAAAGAGCTGGAAACAACCTACGTGCCCATCAACAAACGAATGGATAGAGAAACTATGGTGTATTCACACAATGCAATACTATGCAGCATTGAAAAACAAGGAACTCATGAAATATTACACAAAATGGGTGACACTGGGGGACATTATGCTGAGTGAAATATCTCAGTCACAAAAGGACAAATATTGCATAGGGCCACTGTTGTAAAATATGACTGACATCGGGGTTGAGGGAAGACAGAGAAGGAGGGGAGAAATGATATATACTCTGTTGAAGCAGAGGAGGGAGAGAACTGTTTAAAAGGGATATGTGATTAGGTATTATTGTCATGACAGTAGTTCAGAATGAAGGCTGCACAGTGGAGAGGACTTGGGGGAGAGATTGCATAACAATGAAAAAGTTTTTCTTTTCCTTTTCAAGGAGAAGAGTGAATTGTGGAGGAGGGGGTGGGAAGGGAGAAAAATGCAACAATGAATGACTGGAAACCCTAAGTCACTGTAAACTTTCATTAAAATTAATAAAAAGAAAAAGAATGAGCACAATTAATGGTGAGGAAGGCACAGGGTAGAGCAGTGTTTAGATCTGCTGTTCACATGCTATGAGTCATTGTCAACTTGATGACAACTAACAATAATAAAAACAGCAACAGAGGAACATTGGAAGAAAGACCTGGAAGTTACTTGTGGAAGATGAGCCATTGAAAACTCATGGAGTTCTCCATTAACACATAGCACAGGGTCCCCGAGTTAGAGTCGCCCTGTGGAAACGGATTATTATTAGCACAGAGAGGCTTGGAGAAAAAAGATGGGAGATAGTCATCTAGGTGAGAGTGAAATTGGGGACCTGGAGGCTGGGAGGGGAAAGAGGTGGATGGAGGGATGCTGCTGCCCAGAAACAAGGCTCAGGAGAGGGTGCTGTGGTTAGCGGTAGGAGGTATGGTCCTCGGATAGGCCTGTTTTGTTCTCTAAACCTTGCCAAGGCCTGTGTACCAGATGCCCTCGACCTCCCAGAGGCCGGTCGGCTTGCCTGGATCTGTGCCCTCACCTTGTCCTGTGCGCAGGCATAGCGGGTTGGCTCCGAGTTGCCCCGCTGTTGCCGCAAGGCGGTGAAGGCAAAGTCCCAGTAATCCTTCCGAGGCCCCAGGAAGCTCTTCTGCTGCTTCTGGTCAAACTGGGCCAAGCAAAGGAGAGATGAGCACAGAAGGATGCCCTCCCTTGGCCCCCCTTCTGATCCAGAACACCCAGCTAGCTGCCTGCGTCCTCCCGCCTGGCTGAGAGAAAGGACCCTTTCGCTGAGCCCACTGACCTGGCTACAGGCTCTGGCTCTGCCCACACAAGGTGTGTGACCCGGAGCTGGCGGCTTGACCTCTCTGAGGCACAGTGTTCCCATTTATTTCTTTGAAAGTATTTACTTAGAACTTACTATGTGCCAGACTCTGTTCTAAACAGCCACAAATAAACGGACCTCACTTACAGGGCTTCCATCTTGACAGAAAAGAATTAATTAAGAGTGAATATTTTTTAAAATTTATTAATTTTAATGAAAGTTTACAGAGACTTAGGATTTCCAGTTATTCATTGTTACACTTTTCTCCCTGCCCACCCACTACCCCCTAATCACTCTTCTCCTTGAAAAGAAAAAGAAAAAAAACTCTTTCACTGTTATGCAATCCCTCCCCGCCAAGTCCACTCCACTGTGCAGCCTTCACTCTGGACTTCTGTAATGACAAGAATACCCATTCATAAATCCCTTTTAAACAGATTAAGAGCAAATATTTGACAGTGAAGCTTATGAAGAAGAAAGACTAAGGAAAGAGGCTAAAAGCGCAGTGTATGTGATGTACATGTGCATGTGTGAGCCTATGGAACGTGTGTGTGTGTGTGAAGTAAGTGTGGACACTTTAGATTAAGGTCACACTAGAATGCCCCACTGAGTAGGTGCTACTTGAGTCATGTGGGATTTAAGTCCTGTGGAGGTAAGACGGTAGAGAGTTCCCGTGCTTTTTCCTAGGAGAAGAGCCTTCTAGGCAGAGGTGAGAGCAAGTGCAAAGGTCCTGAGGTAGGAATGTGCCTGTGGACTCTGACTAAGGGGCCCGTGTGGCTGGAGTAAGTGTTTGAGCAAAGGTCTGGCTGGAGATGAAGTCAGAGAAGTGGGAAGGGTGCATGTGGACAGGTGGTTGAGACATAGAGGTTTGAACCTGAGGTGGAATGTGTAAAAGGTTAGCCTGGCAGGCAGCAAGCGTTCAGTAAAAGGATATGCTGGTTAGAATTGGGGCTCTGCCCGCCACAGAAAGGCTCCCCCAGCACATCCATGCCCACACAGCTTTAGTCGTCAGAGCACGGTGGCTGCCCCAGCCCCTGGCCGCACCACTGCTGACCTGCTTCAGTCTCACTTCTCAGGCTGAAACGACCCTTCTCACCTCCTTTCCTTCCCCAAGATCAGCCAACAGGAGGGACATGTTGACCCTCAGGGGAGGAGATGGGAGATTGTAATAAAAGGTAAATAACTGCTCTTCCCCTCAGTGTCTGGGGAAAACTTTGCTGCTCACCTGGTGCTAGGTGAGTGGACATGTGAGGAGGGGAGAGGACTCACCTGTAGAAGCAGCTCCAGGCAGCCACAGAGCCTGTGCAGCTCAGCGCTGGCATCTGTCACTGACTGCTGCCTCTCCCCATAGCCCTGGATGATGGCAGAGACAGCCGCTAGAGGGGAGAGCAGACACAGCTTGTAGCTTGTGAGTCCTCCAAGGCAGAAGTGATAGCTCATTTCTCCCCAGCTCAGTTCGGAAGTTATCTCAGGACACACTCACCTTTCAGGTCCCTGGTGATCTTGAGGACAGCCCTCTCATCTGCCATAGGTACTTGGAAGTGAGTGGTTCCTTGAGACTTGGACTGGCCTGGTCCTGAAAAGACCCTCTGGACTCAGCTGTCAACTTTCTCCTTAGACAAAGGCGGAGCCAGAGGCCTGGAGTGGGGAAGCGGCTTCTCAGGGTCCACACAGGAAACGAACTAGGAGGTGAAAAGAATCGGAACTTTCCAGTGAGCAATGTATGAAGGTGACAGTGCAACTACACTTAGGGGTTCCTGGGTACCAGACACGGTGCTGCATGCTTTGTATACCTTGTCACCTTGGTCCCCACAGTAGTTTACGGAGCTTTATTAACTCCATTTCAGAGGAGATGAAACAGGTACACAGTGAGAGAGAGCAAGTCTTTTATCCAAGATTACAGAATTGTCCGCATTGGAGCAGAATTTGAACTCTGGTCTGGCTGCCTATGTTCTTGGCCCCAACTTGATGGGCTAGGGTGGCACTATGAGTCTTCGTGTCATGTGGAAGTCAGACTGTGGGAACATCAGCACCCAGGCATCCTGCAGGGAGTCCTCAGCCCAGCCAGGGCAGTCACCATCCTGGAGACACACTCATGCTTTCCTGAGCTCCAGCGGAAAATGTGTGTGCCCTGAGGGGGGTGGGGGTCCTTGGTCATGTGGGTGGGGAGGTGACTGGCCAGAATACTGGTGGGTGGGAGTCAAGACACTGCTTTCCAGCTTACTCCTTTCTCCCAGGGGAATCTTAACCTGTTCCCAAGACTTAGAGGGACATTAGGGCCCCTGTGAGCTTACTGTGAGAATGTGGAGTCAGGGCCAGCCATGGGCTGAGAACCCAGGCATCCTGGAGTTTGGGGGCGGGGCTGGAGAACAGTGACCTACTGGGACCCAGTCAGTGAATGGGAAGGCAGAGGACCATGAAGCTGAAAAATGGAGGACAGGCTGAAGGTGGGGGTGCAGGAAGCACTGCTCTGGGAGTCAAAGGACCTGAGTCTCCATCCTGATCCTGTCTCTCACCATCCTGGGCCCCATATCTAGATCAAAGCGTTCTGACTGAGAGTTTCAGCAGTCAGTTTCAGCCCAGATCCTCTTATGAAACCCACGGACATCTAGAACGCGCTTCCTCCTCTTCCTCTTTTCTGTCTAGAACTCTTGGCCCCTCGCTCCTACCATCGATCCCTTTCTCCAGCCCTCATAAGACCCAGGAGTCTTCACAGGAGTCTCCTTGCCACTCACCTGGGAAGGCTGGAGGGCTGAGGCATGAAGGTCGGGGTGTGCAGATTGAGCTCCGGGCGGTGGCTGTGGCTTCTGCCAACTCCCTTGGAGGTTGCTGCCTGAGGAGTGACTCAGGCCCAACACGGGAAGCACGCTGGAAGGGGAAACTAAGCACAGAGGAGGAGGAGCGAGAACCCTGTTAGGGAGAAGTAGCAGAGGCACAAACAAGGGCATCAAGGGTGCAGGGAGCAGTGGATGAGAAACAGGACGGTTCTCCTCAGGCTAAGCCCAGTAGGTCCGCTTCTTGGTCCTTCTTGGATAGCAGCAAGATAGCCAGTTACAAATATAACTATCTAGCTTGCCAGTTACAAATATAACTATCTAGCTTACTAATTATCCAGTTACCTAGTGACTCATCTTGTTAGTTATCTAACTACCCAACCAATTAGTTAATTGAATAGTTAACTAGTTAGTTAACTGTTAACATAGTAGTAGTATTATTGCAACTAGTTCGTTAACTAGTTAACAAAATAGCTAAGTGACTAAATAGTATAACAATTAGTTTACTAGTTACACACTTGTTATTGTTGTCAGGTGCCATTGAGTTGAGCATGACTCATAGCGACCCTGTGAACAAAAGATCTTCCCCTGTTCTGTCCTGCGCCATCCTCACACTTCCTGACACCAAAGCCCACTGCAGCAGTCACTGTGTCAACCCACCTGGTTGAGGGTCTTCCTCTCCTTCGCCGATCCTCCACCCTTCCCCATATCATGTCCTTCTCCAAGGAATAGCCCCTCCTAGCAACATGCCAAAGTATGTGAGGTGAAGCCTCATCACGCTTATCTTCAAAGAGCACTCCGGCTGCACCCTCTCGAAGACATATCTCTTCTTTCTGCTGTCCATGGTATGCTCAGAGCTCTTCTCCAACACCACAGCTCAAAGGATGCTATTTAACCATGTGGCCATTCAACTAGCTAGGTAACTGGCTAACCGATTTTAGTCACCTAAATACTCAACTGACAAAATAAATAGGTAATGAGTTAAGTGAAGCATTTAACTAGTTAAAGGCTTAGCCATCTAAGTATCTGGTTCTCAATTAATTAGCTATTTATCCACTCTGTTACCTGGTTAATATTCTAGTTAACTACTCCTCTAAGACTAAAAAAAAGAAGACCAAAGTGAACGTGATCCAAGCCATGGCGTTTTTAACTGTTTTGTATACATCTGAAAGCTGGACGATGACGAAAACAATCAGTGGTTTTGAATTGCGGTGTGGGAGAAGCTTCTGAATATCCATGGACTGCCAAAAGAATGAGCCAACCTGTATCGGAGGAAATGCAACCAGGGTGCTTCTTAGAGGTCAGGATGATGGAATATACTTTGGGCATGTTGTCAGTTGGGACAGTCCTTGGAAAAAGGCTGGGAAAGGTGAGAGTCAGTGAATGAGAAGACTGTCAACGGGATGGATTAGCACGGTGACTAACTACAGACTTCAGCATGTTGCAGATAGTGAGGACGGCTCAGGATAGGGCAAGGTGCAGATCTGTTTGTTGTTCACAGGCTGCTGTGAGTGGTAGTCGACTTGATGATGGTGGCTGTATTAGCTTCTTCTTTTTTCCCTTTTTCAAGTTTTTAAAAATTAATTTTAATGAACGTTTACAGAGACTTTGGATTTTTATTCATTCATTCATTCATTCATTGTTTCACTTATTTCCCTGCCCAACCTCCCCCACCAGTTCGTTCTTCTCTTTGAAAAGTAAAAGAAAAATTCTTTCATTGTTATACAATCCCTCCCCCCAAGTCCACTCCACTATGCAGCCTTCCTTCTGGACTCCTGTCATGACAATAATACCTAATCATACATCCCTTTTAAACAGTTCCACATTTTGTTAGTCTTTTCATTATCCGCACTGGCCATTGTCGTTCTTAATCATCACCACCAGGGGGCACAAAGACGTTGTGATGCAATCCTTCCAGTGCAGATTTCTTTAGTGGGAGTGTGGTGCTGGCAGAGGACCCAAGATGCCTCTTTACTCCATGCATCTCTTTACTCTTCTTCTACATCTCAGGGCCTGATGGCACCCCATGGGTTCTGGTTGCCAGTGCCATCCTTCCAGCCTATGTAAAACCAAACCTGCCATCAATTGAGTGAATTCATATGCTAAGACTCTTTTTGAAAAGGGCAAGGATCCCAGGTGGGTTGTGACCACCCCACCCCCATGCTCTATTTTCTTGAGGTGGAGGTCATTCTACGACTCGCATCCCTCTCCTCGTTGTTTTTCTAGACTTTACAAGATTTACTTCAAGGCAGTATCTTTTCCCCATACCTATTCCGTCATGTGCCATTGAGTCACATTGCAACTCATAGCCACCCTATGTACAACAGCTCTGAAGCCTGCCCTGTGCTGAGCCAGTCTCACTGACTCTGACACACCTACCCCAATTGGCCCAGTTATGAAATCCATTTCATCCAGGGTCTTCTTCTCCTGTGCTGTCCCTCCACCCTTCTAAGCATGATGTCCTTCTCCAAGGACCAGCCCCTCCTGGTCATATGCCCAAAATATGTGAGACTGAGCTTCAAAATCTTAGCCTCCAAACAGAAACTTGGTTTCAATCTCTCAAAGATAGACCTATTTCTTTTCTTGGCGATCCATGGTATGTTAAAGATTATTTTCCAGCACCACAACTCAAAGGCATCAATTCTTATTCTGTCATCCTTAATAATTGCCCAGCTCTCTGATGCATAGCAAGTAATTGTGAAGACCATGGCCTGGATCAGACACACCTTAGTCTCTAGACTGACATCATTGCTTTTCAGTACTCTGGAGAGGTAGGTCCCTGACAACAAATTTTCCCAGTGCAATTTGTCTTTTGGTTTCCTGACTGCTGGTACCAAGAGTGTTGATTGTGGAGCTGAGCAAATCAAGAAGCTGGACTTTAAGAAGAAAAATGTGAGAATGAGAACTGTTTAAAAGGTATATATGATTAGGTATTATTGGCATGACATGAGTCCAGAATGAAGGCTGCACAGTGTAGTAGAGTTGGGGGAGGGATTGTATAACAATGAAAGAATTTTTCTTTTACTTTTCAAAGAGGAGAATGAACTGGAGGGGAGGGATGAACAGAGAGAAAATTGCAACAATGAAGGAACAGAAATGCAAAATCTCTGTAAATTTTCATTAATAATAATAATGTTGTTGTTTTTGTTTGGTGCTGTCAAGTCGTAGAAGACTCATATCGACCTTATGAACGAACAGCCTGAGTGCTGTTCGTACATAGAGTTTCCAGAGGCAAGCCATTTCGGAAGTGGATGACACATCTGGATCAGAGGAAATCTCATCAACAACTTATGTTATGCAGATGACACAACTTTACTTGCTGAAAGTGAAGATTTGAAGCACTTATTGCAGAAGATCAAAGACTACATATGGCCTTCTACATGGAATACGATTCAACGCCAAGAAAACAAAAATCTTCCACACTGAACCAAAAGACATCCTCATGGCTAGATGAAGACAAAACAGAAATAGTCCACCATTTCATCTTATTTGGATCCACAATCAACACCTGGTACCAGTAGTCAAGAAATTGAAAGATGCGTTGCATTTGAGAAAATGGCTGTCAAGGACTTTCCCAAAGTGCTGAAGAGCAATGATGTCAGTTTAAAGACTAAGGTGTACCTGTTCAAAGTCATGGTCTTCTCAATCACTTGCTATTCATCTGAAAGTTGGGCAATGAATAAGGATGGCAGAAGAAGAATGAATGCCTTTTAATTGTGCTGACAGAGAAGAGTACTGAATATTCCATGGACTGT